TCGTTGGACTTTTAACGAATCTTAAAAGTACTATTTGTGGCGGGGGCACTAAGATGTCGCCTATATGAATGTTGGTTTTCGGCAAACCACAAAGTTAAGGACTTTACTTTGTAACATTCATGAAATGATAGTGATACAAGACCGTAAAATGTATCGTTGAAGAATTTATGGTTGTGCATTGCTCAGTGTGTGATGTGTTTATGAGGTTGGTCCAATGTCCAAGTGGTTCAAAGTTTGTCTACCATCTTGTAGGATTGATTTCAAAGAACCTTCACTAAGATAGTGGTTCAATCGAAAGACACCATTATTTATGCATATGAGTGTCAAATTATTCGGTGACCTTTTAGAAATTCATTTTCTAAATTTTAAAAATGGCGGGGGATTGTTGGAAATTTTTTAAAATTTGTATGATGTACATACATGTAATTAATGTATATTCATTCATGTTTTTGATACATGTATAGTATTGTAAATGTTTCTAAAATATACATTCATTTATGAATATATTCATGTATGTGGGAATCCTTAAATGAAAGGATAGATTCATGTTTTGATCTTAGGATCATGAGATTATTGCACGTTATACCGAACAAATAAAATCTAAAGGAAAGTGATATCTATCACGATTTGAAACCAATTCTTATCACAATATTTGCCAGTTCATTGCACTATTTCCAACATTGCCACAGTACGGGTGATGAAAAGATTAATTCATCCATCGAAAGTAGTTGAAGGAGAATGGTATAGATGGTTAATATCTCTATTTATTTATTGAAAACATCATTTTAAACATCCCTTACATTTTGTTAAATAAAATTTTTTATCCTTCACTTTTAAAATATTAATTTTACGTCTCTAATAAATTCAAGTTAGTAAAATTTAGTTTCAATCTAAATTTTTTATTGCTTTTTTGCTTGAAAATCACCACATGACTCACATATAATCATTTTATGTATAAAAAGTTCAAATCCCACTTTTTTAATGGCAAAAATGATAATGAATTTGGTCAAATCCCATTTTTTTTTAAAGAAAATTAAGTATAGTTCAGGTTAGATTCTACTTCTTTTGGATAAAAAATGAATATAGATTGGATCACTTGTTTTACTACAAATGGGATCTAACCCATTGGTCTTCAAAAATATTACCACCTATGGGCCATATGATGGATTCAGAGTAAAAAATGGTTTAATACCTAGGTTAGGACAAAATTTTACTGACTTAATTTCATAAGAGATACAAAGTTATTATTTTAAAAGTGAAAGATAAAAAATTCATTTAGCTAAATGTAAGGGAAGTTTTGAACAATTTTTCCTTATTTATTTAAATTTTAGCAAATGGTTTAGTTGTTTCAACTACTAAGGCAATCTCATGGAATTATACATCATCTACAAGATATCAACAAATTAGGGTTAATCTCAATCAATCCCCTAAAGTATATCCCATTTTTCACTTTACCTCTTAATCTTTTTTACTCACTGTATCTCGTATTAGACAAAATTATCCCTTTATCATTATAAATTTTTTTTCTTTGTTTTTTTCTCTCTTTTGTATTTTTTTCTTTCCCTTTGTCCTTTCTTTATTTTCTCTGTCTCTTTGTTCTTTGTTTGCTTCTTCCTCTTTCCTAAAAGAAACTTCATTTAATGATTGAAACTGAAAACAAGAAATTGGAGAGATTTATATTTTCCTCAAATGATCACAAAATATTCAATCCCTTTCCCTAAAATATCTTCTTCTTCTTTTTTTTTCACTTTCAATTCTTTTGCCTTTGCCTCTGCACATTCTAGTTTCTCATTTTATTCTCAAGACAACATCACAAGATGAATTTGTGTCTTGATTAATGATCATTAATTGTAATTGTGACACATGTCATTATACAAAGATCGAAATTAGCTTTTGATACCTTTCAAGGATTCATCCAAAAATCCAATTACAAACTTCAGATAAAGTTTTTTTGTTGAGATGAAGTTTTTTGTTGGGAAGGATAGAAGATAAAAGAAAGAATGAAGAGCAAATGTAAAGGGTCAATGTTCCTCCAGTGCACCAAAAAAAAAAGAAGAGAAAAATAGTGAAAGGGTAATTTTGTCCTATAGAGGGTTAAATGATAAAATTTAAAAGTTAGAGGATAAAATGAGAAATGAGATATACCTTAAGCAAATTAATTGTAATTAACGCTACAAATTATCCATCAATCCAATTATCACTTCCACATATTAATGGCACGATTAGACCGCTTAACTTTCTGATAGAGAAAATTCTTGTATTGGCCGATCCACACCTGATTGGTGAAGTACATTGGTCTCTTTACAGCATTTTCTTATATCATATAGCGTTATCTAATCCGACTGACTCTGTGTTGAGATTGTTTAGTCTTGGTAAACAATGTTGCGGAAACTGAATTTTAATACCACAATAATTTTACCGTTAATTATCAAAATTACCCTTCAAGTCAACCATGCTTGTCCTAGATTAAAATCGACGAGAAAGGATAACACGGAAAAAGCATTGTAGCAACACTAACATTGTATCTATGACAATATCAGTAGCCGATAGTCCACGAATGAAATGGTGGATTGGATTCTCATGCTATTGCTGCGAATGGCCTTTATTTGTAAGTGGTGGCCTGGTGGGTATATGGGCAGAAGTCAAGGAGGGTAATATCAACATTCAATAATATGCTCATGTATTTGCAAGAATATTAACATGCTCAAATGGCGTGTAAATAAAAATCCAATAAAGCAAAGTGGAGATAAATCCAACAAAACAAACTCATTCTTGTTCCACTCAAATAAATAAACAAATCGAATTTATATGCAAGTTCAATTTCGTTAAATTCAACAGATAAGTAAAACAACCAACGGTCCTTTGGCCTGGTAATCACCACCAAAGACTTTAAATCTTGATTGGGTGGAAGGTCAAGGATTTAAACTTTACCTCTCATTAATGTGCCACTATATGTAGTTTCTTCTAAATTCATACGGATGTATAGTGCACCTGTCTGATCCAATGATGGTTCAGTTCTCGTCGATTTTTCTAGAATTCGTTGGATCTCTCTACCCCTAATGTAAGCTAGAGTAAGAGTAGGTTAGATTAACTGTTGCAGTCTAATATGAAAAAAGAGAGAGAGAGATAAAGTTAAACCATGTAGTATTCGGTTTGATTTCACTTCTTTAACCTCTATCCCTACTTACATCCAAATGGCTTCGAAAAATTACGTGCATATTTTGTGGTCAAAACAAGGCCTAACCTAATCTAATGAACTATTATTCTTAATTCTTTATTGTTAATGCACTTAGCTTAATATTTGGCACGTGTATCAAGCCACCAACTATGCCAACCTGCCAAGTCCAACAACTAATATTACCATTTATTGCGGAATTTACTATCCTTAAATGACTGCCTCTACCCTCAGCAACTGTAGATTCCCATCGTAAGATTAAGGGTACTTCGATAATTTCACGTGGCCAGTTTCTTCTTTAGGTTAATTGTTGTAGTAGTATTTATCATCAGTTATTAGTAATCAGTATCATCATCCGATTATTATAAAAATCCTAGCCCAGATTATTTTAGTATTATCAATCACAGATCCATAAAAAAAATATTACCAACCCATTGGAATAGTAAAGGGGAAAAGAAAAAGGCAAAAGCAAAGAGAGTAGAAGATAGTTCCAAGACAGTTCATTCTCTGTTTTTTTTTTTTTTTGGGGTAACTCCAACATCACTCTCCCAAATGTCACTTTCATTTTTGTCAGGTAAGTTAATGTTTCGACTTTCTTTAATCAAAATTCCATCTGGGGTAGTAATAGAATGTTCATACATAGCCACGTAGGATAGTGTCTAGTGTTAGTTTTAGCAATATTTTAAAGTATTTTATGCACATTGGTTTTTAGCACATTTTAAGAATATTTGGTTATTTGAAAGATTCTTGGTTAGGACAATGGCGATACTGAAAATTCAAGGCGGGTTTTTTTGTCTTTCATAGCTCTTTGGGATTTTGACCCTTTTGGATATGGGAAAGATACCCAACGAATCATACTTCTAGTACAGTGTCAGACCAGAAAGAATAAAGCTTTTAACTTTTTCATTCATTTCTGCATGCAAGTTTTGATGGTTATTTACATTCTCCATTGTATTAATTATGTGTCGAATCTTTACATTGTCAGCCAAAGATTTCATTGCAGATTCTTGGTAAACTTGGATTAGACCTGTTGTTGATCCTGTGTCTATGTAGTGTATGCACTTTTGTCTAAGTCAGAGTATTTATTGGGACTAGGCAGGAATAGGGCCAACTGTATTGCACCTATACTGCACTCTGATTGCACCATTTTGGAGGAAGTTTTTCTTGTGATAAATGCAGATCCATAAGGAAGATATCTTAAGTAGTACTACAATCTTTTCAAAAGAAAATAATAAATCTTAACTCGATTATTAACCATTTCTCATTGTTGCTATGCTAAATCACATTTTTGTCTTCAACGAGAACTGCTAATTTAACTGTTAGCTTGGAGCTGTTTACTTACAGAAAGCTTAGTTGACTGCATCAGATTAATGAATAAAAGATTTTAATACAAGTATCTATACACATGTAAAGATTAAGCATTATAATCACTATCTATTAGATAATCAGCCGAAATTGGATTCTGAAAAAGTTCCTTTATTAACTAGTATATCTTTTTGGCTAAAACAATCGCATTAATTAGGACTATAATTTTGTATATTCCTAAATATGAACTCTGACTAATTGTGAGGAGGGGCTGTTGCTACATAGGATAAAAAGTACCATTGCTGTTGCTTAAACAAAACTTAAAAAGGGGTAAGATTGAGTAGTATGTATCTACATTGTGAGTAAGCCAATATGGCCCGTCTCATATGTAAGGAGAGAAAGAGGACTATATCTTTTTTTTCTTTTTCTTTTTCTTTTTTTTTTGTATGTCTGGGTGCTTTATGGCCTGAAAGGGTCCGTCTTTTTTCTGGCTTTTCTGACTTTTGGACCTTCTGACGTTTCATAGGGTATTTCTGTTGAGTACATTCATTACTGTGTTAAGAATTCATGGTTTTGACAGCCTTGTTGCTGTACTTGTAGTATTCAATCTGTTACACTTGAGTTACTTCACTAGATGAGCTGGCTGTTTTGCAGCTCTTTATCATGTTTGTAAACTCTAGAGCTGGTGATCTCCTTGTCATTTCAATGCCTGTTCTTGGTGATTTTCTGTTCAGTTTCATGATTTGTCTTCTTGTTTGTTCCTTTGTCATATTCTATTTCTTGTCCCTGGTTTTCTCTATTCTTATTCTCATTCAGCATTTTGGCAGTATTATCATCTTTCAGTTTGTTCAAACGTAGTCTTTGGTCTTTACTTTTCCTTAGGTTGGCAACATGAGATGGGATTTTGTCTGTTTTCACAGCTGCCGGTTACATGGCGCACGTTTCTACTTCAGATTCCGCCTATTTTGTTGTTTTGTTTAATCTTTAACATATACATATACTCTGCATTGCAGTGTAAGAAGAGTAAGATGGTTGAACAGGGAGTCCTAGTGGATTTTGGTGGTGGGAAGAAGGCAATGGCTTCATCCTCCACTACCTCAAGAACATTGCCTTTACAGGCAAGACCTTCAGATTACCATCCATATCCACCTCCTATGGCTACATATGAGGAAGTTGTTGCCTCTCCTCAACTGTTCTGGGTGACTTTGGAGAAGCTACATGCTGCCATGGGAACCAAGTTCATGTCAGTCATCTATTTAAATTTCCTATAATTTCTGCTTCCTACATGTCTAGCTATTGGACTTTTTCCCTCTTGTCTAGCTTTCCAAGTTTTTTTTTTTTTTTTTTTTTTGGGTGGAGTTGTTTATGACTGCAATTTTGCGTGAACTATTTCTCCTTCTTGGAGGACCGTAACAATCAGCATTTGTGAAACAAAAAATATTTATGTACAAAAATATAAATCATCTTCATGGAGAGTTTAGTCTAGGGATTTTATGGCTGTATATTGCAGTTAACGAATCAACAACAAAAGATCAAGATACAAAGAAGTACAAGTCTATCTCAGCTCTAGATTATGAAGTTTATGGAATTCTTTGTACTTCCAATTTTGTTTTTAGTATTGACACAATGCTCATTGGCGTTTACTGATGTTTCATTCTAAAACGATATTATCAATGTCCTATACTAATGGGGAAATAAGATTGTGATCACTGGAGCATTAAACCTCTCATTCGTGCGTGCGTGTGTGTGCACGTGCGCATTTAGCATCCTAAAAGGATCTTTCATCCCAAGTAAAGGGAAATTATCTCAAAGGTTAACTTCTGTTCATGCCTCATATCTTATCATTTGACTTCATTTGATTTGCAATTTCATGATACGAATGTCCCAAAGTTTATGCAAGAAATGGCTGCTGTGCTCACATTCCAAGTTTTTCTGCTTTGATGGCTTATCACGGTGTACCTTTTGTTTTCTTGTTTTATGCAATATTGAGGTATCTTTTTATTTAGTGAATCAAACAATTGAGTGGGTAAAACCTGTACTGACAAATTGGTTTGTCATAACACATATACTCCGTAGTTGTTAAGTTCATTGTAGATGCTCTTTTGATTGTAAATTGGGAGTTCTAAATTCATTGGAGATATTAACTATGAGTATGTCCATAGATTATTACTTTGGCCCCTTATGCATTTTAGTTTAGAAAATTTTGGGTTCCATGCATTGGTAATTCTCGCTATTTATTGTCTCTTCTGCCTCTTTTCCTTTTTCGTTCACGGCTTACACGTGAATATTGAAGTCAATGTACTTTTGCTGTATCCACCTGTGTAACTTGGACGCTAGTTGATCGACCAAATTATCTTTTAACGGTGGTACTTTTTCTTCACTTCTCTTTCTTTTTCGTGCTCAAATTAATCTATACATTAATTGATCTCTAGTTTGTCAAATGGAATTTATCATTTCTAGAGCACTGAAGTTGAGAATACTACCATTGAATAGGAGGCTCATGTAACTTCTGTTTGTGGGTGCCCTGCATCCTTTGCAATCATTAGACATGACGTGAGTTATTTATTCATAAGGTTGAGTATTGCATTTGTTAGTACAACACTGAGCATAAAGATATTTATTTAGTGAACTACACATGGCATTTTAGAATTTTGGGAATGGAGAAAAGGATAAGCGCTAAAACTTATATCGAATAAGGTAAGTAACAATCAAACTTGATAATCAGCTGTGGATTTATTCTCTCAATTAATTAGAATTATTGGCCACAGACATGCCTCTATTTTTTACTTTTTGTGGAGGAACTAGCTATTCACAAAGATCTGAGATGTGACAATATGTTTTGGATAACTTCTATTGAAACTTCTTCCTACTAGCTAAGGTGTTTTTTAGATCTCTGCAGCATTTTTTCATGGTGTTAACTTCGCGTGGGCTAGATAGAGCAAAACGTTTGTCCCTGCTATTCTGTTGATAAAGTTTCAAACAGTTTACTGATTGAGGTAGTAGAACACATATTTAGGCCAGTTGGTCAGTGGAATAAAATACAAATGAAGAACTTTTGGTAGGAGGTGGATGATTAGATGTTCTGGTGCTTGTTTTCTGCAAGGCCCTGCTATGCTTTTATATATCTCCTTGCTGAAGTTCTTAATTGAAATAAATAGCTACTTCTGTTGCCAAGAACAAGTGTTCCACTAGTGTTGTAAAATGATGTTTTGAGATCTGACTTTCATCCATGCATTAGAAACTTTATTAATGCTCTTTCTTGATGGGGAATTACATTCCATTTTTTTATCTTTGTCCTAACTTTATGCATTTGAATCTTTTGAATACAATATTCTTTCAGGATCCCTACTGTTGCAGGTCGGGATTTAGATTTGCATCGACTTTTTGTTGAGGTGACTTCTCGTGGTGGTATTGCTAAGGTGAGTGGGCACAGTTGCATTTACTTGACTTTTAACTTGAACAATTTTTTTGGCCTCTGTGTCCTCAAAAGTTTTGTATTCTTCAGTTCAAGATTATGGTTTTAGTCGGAGATGGATGGGGGGCCGGCTAGTGGGAGAGCCAGAACTGGCGAAAATTGGGTATTTTCGAAGCTGTTTAACCTTGACTCTGAGCCTTGCTCTATACATCACCATGGTTGGATAGCAACTTGAACAGATATTCTTGAGAGGTCTAAAGCAGCCCATGATTGTATCATAGTTATAGTTTTAACAATGGCTTGATGTGCCACCATGGACTCCATGAGATTTTCCTTCAATTGTGGTGACATTGCTTTTGATGTTATTCAACTGAGATTTAGCTTTTTCTTTTTGGTGTCTTATTGGGATTCTGTTCTTTCTTTGGTTTCAGTTTCTGCTTTGCAAGGCCCATTTTGTTTTTCTTAAAGCTGAGGTTTTACAAATCTTCTGATAAAGTTAAATCTATCAAAATCACGTTTTTGAAATCTCAGTAGCCAGAGTTTTGTTTGAAAATTCCGTCCTTCAGGAATTTTTTTTCTCTGCTTGTGTGTCCTTGAAACTTCCTTTTCAGAATCAACTACACTTTTTAGATTAGTACTTGGAGACACACTGTGAAGTTTCTCGTAATTGGTGGGACCATGGAGGGTATGTTATTGGTGCCCATGTCCCCCTTGTATATGCATTTGATTTGCTCTTCAATTACAGGCAATTATGTAGCCAAGTTGATCAGTCTTTGTACCTGAAGATTTGAAAAATCAATGACATACTCTTTTCTGGATGAAGCTTTGGAATTATATGGCCATGACTGGGCTGCTAAGTGGGCATTCTTGTTAATTTATGTTCCTTCTTGATGTGGTTACATCTCTTTTTTGTAATTTGGAAATAACAAGTATGCACCTTATACTGCAGAAAGAGGTCTGATCTTAGAACCTTTGACTTTAGAACTGCAGCTTTGAACATCAAATGCACACCTTTGAGCATCATGATTAAATCAATTTTTTTGACTAAAAATGTTATGAGTTACTTAGGATGCTTATGCAGAAGCTAGAAGATGTGGATAAGAACACTTCTGTTGAATGTTGATTGCAATCTTTATTGTAGTTTTGATTTTCTTTCTTGCTTTCTGCTTAGCCAGAGTGTTGCTGAGTATAGATTCTGATACTTACGCTATCTTATTTTACTATCTTGTGACTGTTGTGTCTGTATGCACGTTAGCATCTTTGTGCATCTTCATGCTGCAGGTCCTTAAGTGCTTGTGTTAATTGTGAACTGGAGGTCAGTCAAGCACAAGAGTTACAATTTCAACACATTTTAATGCTAAGCTTGTCCTGCTCTTTTTCCTTTTGAGTTTGCATCTATGACTTCATTTGTCTAAACAACTGAATTTACAGATTCTCCAGGAGAGAAAGTGGAAAGATGTAATTGGTGTTTTCAGCTTTCCATCTTCAGCAACTAATGCTTCTTTTGTTCTTCGGAAGTATTATTTTTCACTGCTACTACACTATGAACAAATTTACTTTTTTAAGGCTGAGGGTTGGACATCTGGTGCGTGTTGATTCTTGAAACTTTGCCATCATTCTCTCCACTTTTATGTATGTGTGTGGACAATTTACATATATTTAGACAATCTTCCTCCAGATGCTTCACATAGTTCTTCGTCTCCAATTACACCTCTGCCGCGTGAATTAACTAAAACCACGCAGTCATCACTTGTAAACCAAGCAGGCATGCAACAAGCAAGGGTGGTAGAATCTGCAAAGCTGTTACCTGAAGGTTGTGTTTAGCTCCCTTTTCTCTTCGTCTTATTTTTAGTTTTCTTACCCTGATATAATTGCTAATGGATCTAACTACAACAGTATATCTTCAGCAGCATTTTTTTGGCAGTCATACTTAAATCTCTATATTGTATGAGCTAGCAAATGTAGCATACACGTTCAAGTATTAGAAACTAGCAACCTTGTATAATAATTATCTGAACGCCATTCAAGCAACATCTAGATGCATATGGAACCTTGGGGATGGCTAATATTTTTGGAAGCACCAATGCCCTTTCGCATCCAACATTTTCAATGAAAGCATATGTAAAGTGCTCGCTCATTGTTTGTTATGATAGGGTAACTCATGAATGGACAGAATATACCCTAGTTTTTTATTGCAATGAGAAATGTTTTCAGACACTTGTAGTTTTTGACGATTTTGTAAGTTTAATATGTCAAAGAAACATTTTGGTCTGCCAAGGGCTACATTCTTCTGGTTTCCACACCAGAATTAGAGAATGATGATTTTGTCATCTCAAGTGAAAGCCGAATAGACAGCTAAGAGATTGAGATACTTTGAATTTTGGTCTTGAAAAAGTGGAGAAGGTTAGCCTTGGTTTCTTTAAATGCTGTGCTTACATGATGAAGACATGTGATGTACACGTTTCTACCCAAACTTTGGAGTCCTGATTTCTTTGGCTTACTTGTGCGATAATCTTCCATGTATTTGTTTGAGTTTATTGTCAATACTTTTTATTGCTGATATAGCTGTTCCAATAGATGCAGAAAACATATAAAAATGACCAATCTTGGTGCTTGCAGCATGTCCAGCACTATCAATGGGTTCCGAAGTGCATGGGGTTATCGATGGAAAGTTTGAAAGTGGATATCTTATAACTGTGAAAATTGGCTCAGAGGAACTGAAAGGTGTCCTTTATCAGGCTCCTTTTAAGTCTGCTCACCAGAAATTTCAACATCAAAATACTCAGCAATGCCAAAGGGCATCTGGCAGTAAAACTAAAAGTCCGTCGGTAGCATTAGGGATAGCCCGTCGCAGGCGTAGGAAGAAATCTGAAATCAAGAAAAGGGATCCAGCCCATCCAAAGCCTAATAGAAGTGGATATAACTTTTTCTTTGCAGAGCAGCATGCCAGACTAAAACCACTTTATCCAGGAAAAGATCGGGAGATCAGTAAGATGATTGGTGATTCATGGAACAAACTAAATGACTCTGAAAAGGCTGTAAGCATCAACTTGTCCTACTTCCTTAGTTGCAATCTTCTCTATATGTTGTCAATTAGCTCCAATATTATGTGATGTGCAGGTCTATCAAGAAAAAGCTGTCAGGGACAAAGAAAGATACAGAATAGAGATGGAAGGATATAGAGAAAGACTTAGGACAGGGCAGACTTTAGGTGGTGCAACTCCAAATCTACAACAGTCCCTTGATCCACATGTGAGTACTGCTTTGGACGTGAACCAGATACTTCAAACCAATGATGCATGCTCACCTTACTTGCGTGAGAAAGCAACAATTTCAAATAGTAATGGCAAAAATAACCTACAGCTGAGTAAAGGGCAGACCATTACTGATGCAGTTGTCATGCAACAGCAGAACCTTAGGCCAGATCTCAACTTGATGGACCTGGACAAGAATTTTCAAATGGAGGATGCACCTTATATTCCTGAGAAAGACGTAAGTAGTGACAGTGGAAAGAGAAATGTTGAGGGTCATCATCACTGGCCTGAATGGTAACTTCATTGAAAATATAACGTGTCTTAATTGCTTGTAAATTGGATGTTCTTGATAATGGAGGTCATAGCTTTAAGAAAAATTGGGTTGTGGCGGATTTGGAGAAAACATTTTTTCTATGTGACTAGATTTTTTGTTTGTTACTCTCAAAAACACAGAAAGAAATAGACTAGATAAAGGCAACTTTAGTGTGCATGCATAACCAAAGATAACTCTTATTATAACGAAGGGAATATAGCAACTAGTTTACATATGTCAATTATTGACTAATAGGTGATTATTTCTTTCTTCATTTTTCCTTTTTTTTTTTTGACAAGGAGTAACATGTGAGGTTGGAATTACTCCATTGGTTTAGAAGTTTGGCATGCTGGACAATAATTTTTTTTTGAAAAGCTTCTAATACATGTAAATTTAAACATTTGGATATTTCAAATATTGTCTTTTTTTTTCTTTGGGGGTTAGTAAACCAACTAATCATAGAATTAACAGACCAAGCATAGTCAAATCTAAAATCTTCTCCATTTAACAATAAAACAAGCTTCAGCCTTTCCCACCACCTTTGCTGTTGATAGTGCCCTTATTAACAAAAAAAAATTGATAGTGCGCTAATTAAGAATCTTCTCATCAATCAATAATGACAAGACTATGATTGACTAGCTTAATTGATAGGTATGCAAGGCAAAAATATAATTGACTAGCCCAAAATATCAAATTAACCACAAATCCAGGTGTCCATTAACAACAAATCATTCCATGTTTTGTTGGGATGCATTCCATGCCCAAATTGAAAACCTTTTGTTATAGAATAGTACTTTCTTTTGAATAAAATTAATTAGTTTCCCTAACTTAGAAGTTAAAACAAAATAGAAAGCATAACAAATTTCTCAAATCCTCCTTCCATGTTTTATTTGTTAGTCTTTTTTACACCTTTTTAGTGGACTACCTTTTTTAAATGGCTTAAATATAGCCACACATTTTCTTACCCAAAAAATGTAAAATAAAACAAAACACATATTTTCTTTCCTTTTCCTTAATCTCTAAAAATTAATTTCCTCAATATCTTCAAGAATGGCAATTTTCCCAAATTTGAAGAACTCATATTGACCTCCTCAAAAACGCATAAAACCCTTTTGTCACCTCTATTTTCTCCCTCAGAGAAAACTGAGAAGGGATTTTGGGCAGGGACGGTCATCAGTATGACCGTCCCTGCACGGTTCATGGTCCAGATTGGACCTCAAAAAAATATGCGGCTCAGATAACAAGTGGTAACTCGATTTCCGTGCCAAGTGTGGGGCCCACCACTATCTGTTGTGAAAATACAATCTGTGGAAAAAAAGTTACACGGTGAACAAAAGAAGTTACGCGCTGTTGATGAAGAGGAAATTTGTCAGGGACGGTTGCACTGCAACCGTCCCTGCCCCGAGTCCACTGAGAAGAGGGACTAAAAAGATTTCACCCCAAAACCTCCTATAAAAGATTATTACTGTTACAGCTGCCTTTGCTAGTCTAGGATCTTAAGCCCTCAGACCACAGTCCATTTTCCTCTTTTGTTTTCCCCCATTTTTTTCCACTTTTATTTGTTTGTTCCCCACCGCATGTAGCTTCCCATACATTGCAGATTCTTGAAGATATCCCTAGCTTTTTCTCCATATATTCAGGTGATTTTTTTTTTAAATTTATTCATTCATTTCACTGCTTCAAAGTATTCACCTTTTTTTTTTCCTGTTTTGTTTACTCAACTGCACCTGGGTATTCTATTCAGTCAAAAACTTCAGCTGGGCTTCTCTAGAAAAGCTTAATCTTTAATGGGTTCTTTTAACTTTTTGCCATATTTCCTCTTATTAAGTATTTTATTAATTTTTTAAATTGGCCCCTTTTTCTGCTCATGTTGTCCGAAGATTTTACTATGTGATGTTATTAGCCAAGTATTGTTTTCTGTTGCATTTAGTTGTATGCTTGAGTTTATAGCTGGTTTGGTTTGGCATGTTTTTGGATCATTTTTCTTGACTTGGATTAGGTGTCTTTTTTTTTTATTGTGAAATTTTTTTGGTGCTTTGTATACGTGTTCATGATTTTCTTGGATTAATTATAGGAAATAATGGGGAAAAAGGCTAAAAAGAATCCCAGAAGTGGTCATAAGGATAAGCGGGTCTCGGCTGCTCTGCAAAAACTAATTCTCAGCAGCAGAACACTATTGCTAATGTTGATAAAACCACTGATGACGGAACTACTGTAGTTTTAAAGGATAAAAGAGTATGCTCACATCTTGATAAGGGTGTGAATTTAGAGAAGCTTTCTGCTAAATTTGGGTCTTCAGAATCATTTAAGTGTGAAGATTGTAGGGATGGTGGGGATGGTAGACGTGGGGGTAAGGGGAAAGTTAAACAAGGAAAGAAAAAGGGGGGTGCAGAGTCGAGAACAGAGTCTAAGGCCATTTGGGTATGCTTGGAGTGTGGCCATTTTTCGTGTGGAGGTGTTGGATTGCCAACAACTCCTCAAACCCATGCCATTAGACATGCTAAACAGAACCATCATTCATTAGCCATCCAACTTGAAAATCCTCAACTTCGTTGGTGTTTCCGTTGCAATATTTTAATTGTGCTGAAAAATCAGAAGATGGTGTTGAAGAAAAAGATGTATTACATGAAGTTGTTAAGATGATGAAAATACGGCGGTCTGACGGTGCTGCTTTGGATGCAGAAGATGTTTGGTTTGGAAGTGGCAGTGTAACAAGTACTATAACGTCAGAAAAGTCTGCAGTAGTTGGTTCAGGTGGTAGGGATAGTTATGTAGTTAGAGGGTTGATTAATTTAGGGAACACCTGTTTCTTTAATTCTGTCATGCAGAATTTATTGGCACTGGATAGGGTACGAGGTCATTTTTCAAACTGGATGGCTGTTTTGGACCCCTTACTGCTGCTTTCAAGAAGCTTGTTTCCGAGACCAACCCAGATTCTGGCTTGAGAAATGTTATAAATCCTAGATCGTTCTTTGGTTGTGTTTGTGCAAAGGCGCCTCAATTTAGAGGATACCAACAGCAAGACAGTCATGAATTGCTTCGGTGCTTGCTTGATGCTTTGTCTACTGAAGAACTGAGTGCAAAAAACCGGAACAAATCTTCCCAGGAAGATGGCAATTCAGATCCTACCTTCGTCGATGCCATCTTTGGTGGTCAACTCTCAAGCACAGTTACCTGCTTGGAATGCGGATACTCTTCGTTGGTCTATGAGCCCTATTTGGATCTCTCACTACCAGTTCCAACGAAAAAGCCTCCTTCCAAAAAGGTCCAGCAAGTGAATCGAGCCAAAAAACCTAAACCACCTCCGAGGAGAAATGCAAGGATCCGTCCTAAAATGGTCAGAGATACAAATGATTTACCATCTACAAGTACATCTGATGCTTATGTTGATGGAAAGTCTTCTAGCACACCACAATCTAGCGTACATATTCCTGAACAAAATGTGGTTTCTTCTGGTGGTTCTGCTACTGATGTAAGTGTTATGGCTGATACCAAGAGCATAACTGCAGACTGTCTGTCATCTGATCAACATGCTCAGTCCAACAAAGCTGTTGAAAGTATTGTCGAGAAACCAATTCCAGCAGATGATTTCACCTGGTTGGACTTTCTTGAGGCAGATACAGTTTCAAACAATGATAACATGACTTCTCAAATGGATGACCTTTCAATCAATCATGGTTCTGCAGATGAAAATACTGTACAAAATGAAGTATTGCAAAATTCTTTGGATTCATGTGGTGATAATATTTCAACATTTACAGATACAGCATGTTGCTCTCGTGATGAGATGCAGTTAGTTCACCACGGGAAAGAGAAGTTATTGAATGCACAAGATATGGCCTCACAAATTGATGAGAAAGTAGTCCTTGACAGTTCTGGATGTGCTGATACTATGCATAGTGAGGCTAATTGGGAGAATAGCTCAGAACTCAGCTCTTTGACTTGCTCTAGAGATTTAAATCTTGGAGTTGATTCCTTGGGGAAATTTTCAGAAGAGGAAACTCCATTGCTTGTTCAAGAGTCTGAAGTTCTTCTGCTTCCATATAAAGAAGATACCTGTGACATAGTGAAGACAGATGGTGATTTCTTCTCATCAGCTATAGGTTGTGAACAAGATTCAATGGAATTTGATGGTTTTGGTGACTTGTTTAATGAGCCTGAAGCTACAGGCCCTAGTATGAATCCCTCATCCATGTATAATGCTTCTGAGACAAATGAAGTTTTACATGCTGGTTTTGGGGGAAACAGCAGTGAGTCTGAGCCAGATGAGGTTGACAACACTGATGCTCCAGTTTCTGTTCAGAGTTGTTTATCTTATTTCACAAAACCAGAGCTTCTTTCAAAAAATGAACATGCTTGGCAATGTGAAAATTGTGCAAAGGTTTTGCAAGAACAAAAAATCAGATCAAGAAAGAAACTTCTGAACCCTTGGCCTGAAGAAATGACAGAATTGGGCAAAGCTACACGTGCCTCTGGTCTGTCACCTTTACAGGATAGCAGCCCTTTTTCCTCTGAGGTGAGACATCTATGTAATGGCTATCTGAAAAATGAGACAGTTGACCCATCTGATGACAGCTTTCGTCACACAGTACAGAGACTGATGTTAAGCAGAATGTCATGTATGGTGAGAATGCTGAAGTGAATTCAGTAGATTCCAGCATGGAAGGTGAAAAATGTGACGCAGACCTCGCAAATGTTTGTCTGCCAGGAACTTCTGATGGGGATATGACATTATGTAAATTGGTGACAACTGCAAAAGACATGATGGTTCCCATGTCAGATGCACTGATGGTAAAGTTCAAAAGGACAAATTTTGTACAGGAACTGGTAAATGTGAAACAGAAGAGACTAAGGATGATGAGAAGAATGCAGAAAAAGTTGAGAGGGATGCACTAAGAGAATCCTAATTAATAGCGCACCACCTATCCTAACAATCCATCTGAAAAGGTTCAGTCAAGATGCTCGAGGGCGCTTGAGTAAACTGAATGGCTATGTGCAATTCGACCGTACAATAGATTTAAAGTCATACATGGATCCAAGGTGCAATTCAATACTCAAATTTGTTGCTAAAGAAATCATTATTCACTCGTCTTTCATTTTCTTTTACTCTGGTGTGGCTGGTGCATGTTCTTTTGACTTTTTAATTGCATTATTCTCTATCTCCTCACAGAAGACAATTAATTGTTTTAGTTAAAGAAGTTCCACAGACGCTTATTGCTGTCTCTTTCGGTCTCTCAGTTTTTGGGCTTTACAAATCAGTTTGGGAATTTTTATTAGGATCTCAGTTTCAGTGATTAATGATTTGTAGGGTGGATGGATTAGCTGAAATTTCAAAAATAGTGAAGTTGGGAACTCAGTTTGGTCCCTGGAAAAGCATGAGACATTATATTTTTGGAACTGCATGATATAAAAGCATCAATGGAGCATGACAAAAACTTAAGAAATAGCTCTTGAATCTATGCTAAACTTAGGAGGATACAATCTTTGAATATTTACATGAGGTAGAAGGATGATACAGACCTCAGAGAGGATGATCTAGCAGCAGATAGGTATTCGATAGGCCTGTCCAGAGTGAAATAACAATAGGGAAATTCTAATTCGATAGTTTTGACTTCAATATAAAGTGTAAAACTGGCCTGTTAAAAAGAGGCTTGTGAAGGTTCTGTCCTTTTGTTCAATGGATAATGACTGGAAGTTCTTCTCCAGTGTTCCCCAGCAAAATTGCCTTAATTGGTCATCTTGACACAGAATGGAAAGAAAAGTTAAAATTAATGTCAGAATCTATTCTTTGTTGGTATTGCTGGTGGTCTGGAGAGAGGAAGAAGTAGCGTTGAGGATTGTTGTGTAGGAAAGCAATTAGTGTGGTGAGTGGGGTATTCTATCAGATTTAGGGAGTTGGTATGCTTGCTTCTGCGCCATTGTTGGTTATATGCTTGTTTGGGGTTTTGCTAGAAGAAATGGCAGCATTGAAGTTGCGAAAACTGCTGTAGTAGGGTGGAAGAAGTGGCATGAGTACATGCTTGGGGGTTAGTAGGGGTAGGATTCGTGGAGAAGAAGGTAGGTTGGGGGGGGGGTGGGGAGTTTCTTTATTTGGATGTGGGATTTGGGAATAAGAAGGAAAAAGGAGCAATTGGTTTTATACTTTTTGCTTTTCTTTAAATGAATGTATCTCCTCAATGATAACTGAAGATGGACCTAACAGTGAAAATTGAGAGAAGGCTGGAAGCTTATTTTTTTTGGGAGTTCAATGGGTGATTTGAAATCCTCATAGTTTAGTTGCAAAAGTATGTCGTGCCAACAGTTTAGAGACCATTTAAGTGTTTACCCTTTTTTTCTTTTAATATGCATCTGTTTCCCTCTTTGTTCGCATGTTGACTATAACTTGGAGGATATGTATAGGTTCCTGCTTTGGTTATTCAGGGAAGCCAAAAGAAGCATTGTTGTACTTGTATCCATATATCGTAACTATATGATCCATCTCTGGTTAATGAATTTTCTTTCTTGGAGGATCCAGAGCAGAAAATTTGTGCTTAGGTGCCTTTTGGTTTATGGAAAGTGAGACTTTACCAAAGCTAAGACTGTTGAGAATTGAGATTGCCTTGTAAGGGTCCATTGGATCTGTGAGTAATATTAAGGTCATCTTTGCATAAAGAGATGTGATACACAAAATACATGCTTGGTTGTCACAGTTTTTCTTTGATGAAGCTAATTATGCCTTTAGGTGCTTGTGTCCATCTTTCTCTGCCATTTTCTGCCGTCTTTTCCCCAAAATACTTGCTCCTCAGCTGATAACCCCAGCTAATTATATCACCTGAATCTGTTATCATTCTGTTTTATTTAGCTTCCTTTCCATTTTCAATAAAGATGCAGGAGATATTTCTAGGCATAGCTCATTATCAATCAGCAGTTGTGCTTTGGATGCAGCACAAATGGTTTTATGGTATCCAGAGTTGAAAGGTATTTGGTTTCTTTCTTATAGAGATTGTGAAGTAGGTTGATTATGAGCTGCATTTTATGGTTTTAGAACCCTTTTTTCTCAGATATATTAGGAAAGAGTTGCTCTGGGATGATTGACTGAGATCATAACAGATACCAGGCATCATTTTTGGAAACTGTAAAACCTAGGAAAAATGCTGATTAGGTATGGATCGACCAGAAGGAAAAAGGTGGAGTCCTCGATTTATCTTTCATCAGTTTATTTGTCTGATTATTAGTCAGTGCATGTGCAACCACACATATGCATCCTTAGAGTTGTACTCAATAAACTTTATGTAAGAAAGAAGTGAAGAACACAGCTGCCAGTTGACTAACAGTAGTAGTTATTGAAAATTGCCAGAATTAGGACTTGGTTTAAGCTTTACTAGTCAAGGTGGAAACTAGGAATGTTATAGACTGTAAAGATGTCTCACTAACAGCTGTTACTCTTGGACTTCAGTGGATGAAGGTGAACATCAGGACTCTGTAGCAAATAAATCAAAACTGGTTTTTTATGTGATATCAAGCTATTGACATCAAATGTATGGCAGAACATGATTGTATGGCTTAGAGAATCTAAGGATCATTTTGGGCTAACTAACCTATGCTTTGTTTGAAACTTATACTTGGCATGGCCACCTCAACTATGTAGAATAGTTATCTATGGTTATAATAATTGGCTTCACGTGATACTTGGCAACCATTAAAGTACCCAGCTAGCCAAGAAGAAGTGGAATTCTGGCTAAGACCTTGTAGACCTCTCTTTGGAGTTCTGTTTCTTTTCCTCCATTGTCTTCCTTTCCTTTCCTTCTCATACTTGGTTAATCCTTGTACATTTAGCTTCTAATTTTGGTTAATCCTCCAGCTACCTTTGCGTTGTTTGTGTCTTGCAACAAAACGCTAATCCAATTCAATTACCAGTGGAGTTATTGTAATTGTAGCACGACATGCTATCAGCAGAAGCAATTCAACTGCATGTTTACTGCTTATATAATGATCCGATGCTGTAAAGTCAGAATGTATGTAACTTGGTTGTGCTTATGGAAAAATTCAACAGCTTAGGTCTTACAGATGGATAATTTTAGCTCCAATGAAATGTCTTGTTTTATGTTACGGACAATCCTTGAAATATTCTATCTGCTTCATTTTTTGTTGTCGTGTTTTGAGTCTTTGTTGCTGTTTTTCAATTCTTAGTGAAAATATGCTAGAAGGAAAATTACAAGGGAACTGTACTTGTGTTGTTACTTTGTGTCAAAGTGAAGACCTTTGCTATGCCATAAAGTATAGCACACAAAATTGGATCTAGGTGTATCTTCTCATAAATCAAGAGCTTTACTTTCCGTCGATAAGATAACATGTAAAGCACCACACGTCATGTAATTTTAAAAGTGTGGACATCTCGAAAGGCACCAAAATTAGAGGCACTCCAGAGTTATAACTGGAAGACTTTGAATTATTTCCTCTGTTTCGGTCTTAATTGAACCAAGAGATTCAACTGCTGAACAAAAATTGCTGAACTTAGGGGAAAAACTTTTTCATGAATGTCAAATTAGATTTGCACTTTGTCTTCTAACTCTTTTTGGAGTCAGGAGAAGTACAACTTTTGAATTTTCATTGCTAGTAGTAGTTTTAAATCATCCTTGCAAGGAACTTCGGGAAGTCAATTTGTTGATTTGGTTACAGATGGAAAAGGAATAAGTGCTTTCTGATATCTTTGATTCTAGTTTGGAAGTAAAAGCATCTACGTTACCTCAATTACCACCTACTCATCCTTCCCTAACTGTTAGTTTGGACGTCTAATATACTATATGCTGGATGACTAATCAGTGTAGAGCATTTTAGCATCTGGCAGAGCTAGTTGATTAGCTGGTATCATCGCGTAAATAGAGGAATGTCACTAATTGCAAGAACTTGTAAATGTTTAGAACAATGCCCTCTTGGCAAAGATCCATCTTATGTAATTTTTATTTATGAGAATCTGTTGATGCTGCCATGCAACTCTCCAATAAGATATTGTCAGAAATGAAAGATTGGATTTAATTATTTCTCTGATCTTGTTATACCATATCTGATTATATCTGTGGTTGTCCAATTTTATGCTCGACTTCGATTTTTCATGCATTTTAGTTTGTGAGTCTACATGCTTGATTTTTATGTCACAGCTACTAATATTTTTATTGCTATGGTCTTTCTGGTTAGAAAGCTCAGGACTTGATTTCATTTGGCAGAATACACTGACAATACATCTTCTGACTGCTCCTTAAATTTTTTTTTTGCCTACAGGTGCATGGAGAGGGACAGATACAAATACAATTTGGTGGGGTGGTGGAACATATGGGATCAATGAGGGGAGGCCACTATGTTGCATATGTGAGGGGAGGCATGAAGAACAGTGGGAACACTGAAAGTCAGAATGGAGATTATGTGTGGTATCATGCCAGTGATGTTTACGTGCGTGAGGCTTCTCTGGAAGAAGTTCTTCACTCAGAGGCCTACATTTTGTTCTATGAAGAGTTTGAAACATTTTGCATTTTTTTGTTCATTTCTTATAAGAGTTTTGGTGCAACCAACGCACCATATGAGAGAGAGAGAGAGAGAGTCTAAACCAAAACACAATATCCAATACAATTCTTTTTTGAAGTGAAATGAGTTTAAAAGATGTACTAATCAAGGGAAAACCATGTTTTTTTCTTTTCTATTGGCCCTGATTTTGGATCCATATTCGTTCTTGCCCCAATTTGGGAATACAAGTTTTATTGATCATTTCGCCTTGTATGCCTTTGGTTGAGCTGATTTTGCGTTGCACACAATTCACCTTAATGGTTGCCAGTGATCTTTCTGTTCAGGCTGCAGACCCCAAAGACCTTAACTCTTTTTTCCCCTGGTATCTTTTGGTACCCATTTTATGTTAAAAATGGATCTGTATCAGATCGAGCTCTAGTCTCATGACTGATTCCACTATTCTGGGCTTACAATGATATATTGCAGACTAATTTGAAATCCATTCCTCCACCAAGCTGTTCTGTTCCCAAATATCATAAAGACGTGGAAGTTTTAGGAGCCGCTTGGTTTAGGGGTTTTGGTACTGGAATTACAATAATTCCAATATTGCGCTCTTGGTCCAGTGCAATGGAAATTAAAATATTGGAATCATACTTTAAAATTTGGTCATTCATGATTTCCGACCAAACTGGAGGAATTAACCAAAACCCTCATTAATGGGCCCTTTATCCATCATTCCATTTCCCTTTCCAATTCCAAAGCAAGAACCAAGCGCCCCTTTAGTACCTTGATCAAATTGTTGTCAAATTCAATGGCCTTTTGGTTCATAAATTAATATCTCATCTACCAAGTAATGAAACATTAGACAGAGCACAACCCAATGAAACAAAGATTTAGTGTGCAATATATAATTAATAAGTATGGCATAGATAGCATATCTCTTCCCAATTTGGCTTGATAAGCAGAAAGTCATGGAATTCATGTAAAAAAGCAACAAAAAAAAGTCACTTGAGTTCCAATTGAGCTTAACTTGATAAAATGTCATTTTTAACTCAAAGACAATTTTAAATTCTATGAATAAATAACAAATCAAATTTGAAAGTTATATTATTTTCAGTTTAATTGTGATCCTTGATACCCCTAGCTGTGCAAGAACGAGATATACTCAATCTTGACCAGCAACATTAGCTAAGCTATTAAGTTAAGTTTATTGCTTTAAATTAAATTTTTTTTTCGTCAAAAAAAATAAAGTAAACAAAATTAGATTCTCTTAACTGTAAATTGTTGTCGCAATATATTTTTTAAATGGATTTTTTCTTAACCTTGATATCCCTAGATTACTCTCAATTTATAATGTTAATGAACACATCCACATTTATTAGGCCCTGCATTTCAACTTCATTTGTATATATTGAAAAAAAAAAATTAACACCTTAGGTCTCTAGTTTGCACTCTTGATCACCCTGGTTGCGTCATTTGGAAATTGTATGCATATTTTCCTCCTTGCACCAAAAACCCTAGCAAGATTGAGGAATATGGTTTAGGAAGTTGAACTGAATTTCATGAATATTCATAGGGGTAGAGATTTCCATTATCTTAGTATTTTGTTGGGTATAATTACAATAAATAACCTCTAATCATAATATTCTTTTAAAATTAGGGTCTGCCTAACGGGTGCCTTATGGGCACTTGTTAACATGTATTTCAAGTGTCATGTTTTTAAAATATAAAATTAATTAGGAAAAGTAAATAAATACAAGCGAGGGTAGGTATGATTAAATAAGAAATGTACATATATGCAAGAGAAGATAATAATTGTTGGTATATATATACATGATAGGTTAGGTGAATGATAAGTGTATTAACGAGTGCCGTATGAGCATCCGTTAGAAAAATCCTTAAAATTATACGTACTATTAGTTATAATTGGTTGGCTAAAGTCTTGACTGTTTTACAGAAGTTTTGCATTATTATTATTTATTGGTAGGACAAGATACTTCTATTCTGTTCTTAGTACACAAATAGAAAGGGAAGGACCAACGAAAATTATTACTATTACCACCTTAATTCCAAACCATATACAATTTCTCCCAAAAAAAATTACCCTAACCAAAACTTTGTTATGGTTACTTTACTTTTTATGTTTTACCAGTTTCACTACGGTGGAGGAGGGCATACACCATTGCGGATGCTGGCAAAGTTTGCTGAACTGATGCAATCTCCAGACAAAGAGATTGTAATACTTTCACGGGTATTTTCCTGTTTGAAGTTTGCTAAAATTTATCATTGTGCTTGTCAAGACAATCAAGTAATTAACAACTAGTAATTTCAAGTGCTATGTTAATGATTTTGCTCCTTTTATATCTGGCAGGTGCTTACAGATGATGATTTTGAAGATATGGAGGTAATATGCAAAAGTGCATATATGCATTTTCATTCGAACCTTTTTTGGGATGTTGGGATTTAAACCATAGTAAAAAATAGTGAACTTGAAACTACTCAACAAACATCACCACATGGAAATAAAGAATTAGAAGAACTATAATACTATATATAGTTGGGTTTTTTTTTCACTCTCTCATTTTGTTTTAGTTGTGCTTCTTTGGATTACAATCGTCTCCATTAGATTTTTCTCCATTAGAATCGTCTCCACTGATGCTAAATTGTCATTCTTTTAGGGACATTTTCCAATGGTTCTAAAGTCTCAAGTCTAAAAATACATCTGCTTTTCAAAACTAGCTTAAGACCAAAAAAAAAAAAAGCAAGAAAAAACTGCTTTGAGTGTTTTGGTTTCTCATTCTGCATTTGAAAATGAGAAGAAGCTCTTAGTTCATAATGCATTGCATTAGTTACTTGAATTATAGCCTGAGTTCTGTTTCACAGGCTGTTAATTAGTTTCAATGGTATGCCAGTGAAGAATTTACAGAGAACTAGCCCAAAAGGTGGAAACTGTGAGGATGAATTCTTGCAGTTTGAACTTGAACATGGAAAGGTAATAATTAAATTTACAGAACAATTGCTTTTGTTTTCTCTTTGTTTTGAAAGTCATCTTGGCAATCTACTAAAGTCCAATTTTTCTCCTTCTCCAACACAGAAAATTGTCTTACAAACACAAAAGGCTAAGTCATCAAATCAAGAAATTCTGAAGATGCACTCTATACACTCAGAAATTAATGTCTGGGATCTCCTGAAGGAAATCAAGAAGCCGCGCTGCCAATTAAGGATTTTCTTCTCTCTTTTAAGTGCATCATATCTACCCAAGCCAAGTCTTACTTTCAGAGAGTTGGTGATTTCCTGTGAGACTTCTTAGTCATGATCATCTCATCCTTTTGTTTTGTTTTTTTTTTTGTTTTTGGTTATGATCTTCGATACAGCAACTGGTGCTTATACACATATGAACAATTTTATTAATTTTTCTTTTTTTTTCAATTTCTCTACACGATATAAAAGTAACAATTTTTTCAGTGTTCATTGTGTTTTACTCTAATATATAAATGATATCTACGCGACAAATAACTACCGTGTAATGAATCTCTTTACAAAAGTATTTATGTAGCGTCATCTGTGTCATATATATATATATATTAGAAATGTTATTGCAGCAAGTTATTTTTTTTTACTTTTTTTTTTCAGTAGGAGAGAAATGAGATTTAAGAAGCAGGAAGGGAAAAAGAGAGATTTGAACTTGAAACCTCTACGCTCTGAGGGCTAAGTTACTTAATCTATTAGGAGAGTGTCAAAATTTGCTTATTGTTTCTTTAACTCAGTTCTTGATTATTGATTCCGCTATTCAGCCACAAGATTGTTTGAATTTGCTATACTAATTAATGCAAATTAAGGTATTACAACGTCTAACTTGGAGGGATAAGTTTTTTTTTTTTTTTTAATATTCATGAATGAGGTATTCATTTCTGATGATGTTCAAAAAGCCAGCTAAAACAAAATTGTAGATTAATGCGCACAAGAATAAAATAACATTGAAAAGTAGTTGACCAAAAAGTAAAAGAAAGTTGGATAGACCGTAGATAATCAAAGAAAGATTAGCAACTAAACATAAAACCGAAGAAGAAGAAGAAGAAATTCATTTCTAATCGGGGTCCCAATTTTAACCTGCAAGATACTTCATACATCTCAGTCAAAAAAGAAAAAAAAAACCAAATAATGTGTAATTTGAGAGAAGTAAACCATAGTGGTGTCGATGTTCTAGCAGATTGGGATGTGAGCAACAGTATAATTCTTAATTTTCCACTCACAAATAATTAATCTTCCTTCCACCATTTTCTTCTAAGCCTAACTAGTTAGACTAAATTGAACGCATCCTGTATATACTAAGATGGTGCTTATTAGTTTAAACTCTCTGAAGCAAGGTGGATGCATGTCCTCCTCCATCATTTGTATTCATGGATGCTGGGCAACATTAATATTTCATGTATAACTGTTAGATTGAATACTTTCTGTCTAATTTTTAATTTAGTTGAAATTACAGGGAATTATAGCGTAGATTTTAAAATTAAAGAGGGTTAAATTGAATATTAATTTGACAAATCACAGGAAATTTTTTTGATATTTTACCCAAAGAAAATTAAACAATTCTTGTGACCGCTAGAGACAGACACAAGAGAACACCTTGGAATGGAGTCTCAATGCACTCTCCAAAAACACGTTCACCCATCTCATTCAAACACAAAATAGTAACTAAAACTTTTTCAACAATTACTTTTGATCGATTGAAATTTTAAAGATTCACCTGAGTAACTAAAAACTGAGGAGTGAAAATACCTAAAAAATAAAAATAAAGAAATAGAATATCGCAATAAAGTGGGAGAAATGGTGGTCAAGAGTAATCAGTAATTTTCAATGTCACAGCATTTGTAATTTCCGGATTTTCCTATATGTGTTTAGCAGGTGCTTTCCGGAGAGATAAATGATGCCTACGACAAGGATGACTTCAAAGATATGGATGTGATTAGAAATTGCATATATATAATTTCATTAAGCCCATTTTAAAGTGACAAACACACCAAAGAACCTGAATATTTAGTTTGGAAACCTGCTACTAATTCTTCTTCGGCTTCTGGTAAATCAAAAGGCAATCTCTCACACTCGGCTAAAGAAGAAATTAGAAAAATGATAAATCTTATAGGTTGACGCCATAAATTTCATCCCTAAAATCCATATTTTGACTGCGCTTCAACTGTGTCAACTGTATTTGAATTGTTAGATAATCATAGTCGATGATAACATCGCTGTTCCCATCACTATTATAGAACCGTTCATGAGATTTTCACCTCATACAGTTCCTCAAAGATCACAAATAAATCTAAAGGACATTTCACTATTATTTATCTTGATATTTTGTAAGATAGTTATCCTGTAAGTTTGTGAATTAGATCGACGGAATTCTGTTTGCTATATTTGATATATCATCAAAGCATTATGTTACTTAATGAATCTACATGGAAGCATGGGAATAACAGTGATTATTAGATGATAGAGTTTTACTATTTTTTTGATATTATTTATGGAAGTACCACATTCCAAAGATTGAGAGCTATCCCAAAAGAACTGTTTTACTTGATTAAATAGAAATACATCTATTACTTGAATTAACATAGACTCTCATTCATTTTATCATTGAATCCTGTTATTTGTACAGGTTCTTTCTTTCAATTGTGTTACAATAAAGAATTTAAAGAGCTTAGCCAAAATGGTGGAAAACTGTGAGGATGAATTTTTGCAGTTCGACCTTGGACATGGAAAGGTATTTATTTTTCTACTCATTTAATCTACGAAATCTTCTTCTTCTTCTTGTTGTTTTTGGTCTGTGTTTATAGTTGCAACTTGCAAGTATTCTTGGCAACCTAAAGTTGTACCTCATTTGTGCATTAATTACAGAGTATCGTTTTACGCGCACAAAAGGCAAAGCCAGCAAATAAAGAAATTTTGAAGAAGCAGTACTCCGTACATTCAACAATGTCGGGCTGAAGGAATCAAGCAGCCCAGTACTTCTTAAAGGACTTTGTTTTCTTTTTAAGGGACATTAACCGGCCTATGGACTAGGATTGTAATCGAACCAAGAAACTTGATCAAAACTCGACTCGTATTCAGATTGATCGAGCTCGAGTAGAATTCAAATAGCTCGATAGGGCCAAACGAGTTGAATCTCAGTATCCAATAGCATGACTCGAAAGCTCGTCGAGTTTTATCGAGTTTTTAAATTTTAAATTTTTAATATATTATTATTATTATGAAATTACTCTTATGTCCACAAAAGTAGTTGAATTTACGAAATGTTTTAGGTTGTATGGAATTTTTTGAAGGGCGATAATATCTTTTTGCTTAAAATTTTTCAAGAAAAATGAAATTTCCAAATCTTTTTTATTCGAGCTGGATAAGGCTCGCTTTGCCTCGAGCCCATACGAGTCGAATTCGAGTTCTATAAGCAATACATCGAATTCGAGCTCTAACTCCAATAATGCTACTCGCTTGAGCTCGAGATCGAGTATCTTTCTTGCAAGTCATGTTGAGCTCGAGTATGGCGATACTCAAGTTCGATTCGATTCGATTACATCTCTACTATGAACAACAGGAGAAAAGAGGTGTTGCATGAATCTAGGTACCCTGACATATGTTTTGAGAGAAGAATGTCTTTTTTGTTATAGAAAGCCCTATACATATCTTATCTTCTTAGAGAATATCAATGACATCTTTTTTGTTTTTTCTTTTAAGTCTGATTTGTCAACGGAATTATTTTTTGGGTCTGTTTGGCACTTGAATTTTTTGTCATATTTTTAATAGACAAATTTTTTATAACTTTGTCTACGGAACTCTCTAAACACACTCGAAAAGTTTTTAATATACATATTTCAAAATATCTAAAAACATACAAATTTGTTTTCTTTCTTTTCTGTTTTTTCCTTCCTCTTCCCCCATCTCAACCACCATTACTGGCCTGCACTCTAATGAACCTAATGCGCCGGTGTCCACCCTTTCTTTCTTCCCCCTCCTTCTTTCCTTTTCCTCTCCCTCCTCCTCCCTCTCTCTCTTATCCTCCTTTCCCTCCTCTCTCTCCCCTCTTCTGCCACCTCTTCCTCTTCTTCCTCTCTCTCCCTCCCCTTGCTCCCCTTCCCCTCTAGTTGTGAGAGGAGGAGAATGGAGAGAGGAGCAGAGAGAAGGAAAAAAAAAAAAGCAAGATGGTGGCCGCAGCCGGTGGCCCACGATGGGGAAAGAGAAAGAAGAAGAAAGGAAAAAAAAAGAAAGAAAAAATTTTTTTACCACACCTTGTATAAAAATTTTTCTACAATTTCTTCATTGAATTATAATAAATTTTATATAAGCATCCAAAAAACTCACCATGCAAAAGGACCCTATATCTTTTGAAGGACATCTCATATATCTATAAACCTATGTTGATATGCAAAAGGTTACCTCCCCTCACCTCCACCCTTCACCTCCACCTCCGGTCTTGCCCTGCCACTGAAATCCTCCTCTACCCCTCCCTCTCCAGTTCTCTCCCCCTCCCTGCCCAGCCTCCTTCCACATCACCACCAATCACATTTCTCCCCTCCTCCCATTACTTTCAATGTTTATTTCATAATTTTCTAGTTATTTTTGGCCAAATTCAATACTATTATCGCAGTCTCCAAAATCATATTTCAGGGTTAGATTTGGAATGTTGAAGGTAGTCGATGATTTTTTTTTTGTGTGAAAAGTTTTTTTTTTTTTTAAAGAAAAGAAAAGTTTCGAAAACGCCGCATCCGAAAGTTTTTGATAAAACACATTAAGAAATGTCCTTTAAAAATACACAAACTGTCTTGGAGTAAATAAACTTGTTAATTTTTGGAATTTGACCTGCTCTCAAGCAGACAACTTCCTATCTGCAAGAAAAACAAATAAATAAAATAAAGAATTCCTGTGACCACTAGAGACAGACAAAAGAGAACACCTTAATTCGAATGGAATCTGAATTCACTCTCCAGTCTCCAAAAAGATATTCACCCATCTCATTCAAACACAAAAAAGTAAAAGCAAACCAAAAGAACAAAAAGGAAGTACTGAAATTAAAAAAAAAAAAAAAAAAGGTACAGAATTATTTAAAAGAACATCTCAGATTCTTTATGCTTCTGCTCCTGGACACTGCACTCTGTTTCTGCAACCCCCCCCCCCCCAAACACCCTCTCTCTTCCTACCCCACCCTCAAAAAAAAAAAAAAAAAAAAACTCTCCCTTGCTTTTGCCTTTATCACCTCAAAATCTACAATCCCACCTCTTAACAAAATCCATGGCACCATCATCTAATGTGGTGCAGATGAGAATACACACACTACACGCACTACTACTCATCAGCAGCAGTTTAGTCATCCATGTGGCGGCAGCAACATGGTGTGTAGCCAGAAGTGATGCAAGTGATCAAGCTTTGCAAACAGCACTGGACTATGCTTGCAGTGCTGGTGCAGATTGTGCACCTCTTCAATCAACTGGGCTGTGTTATCTTCCCAATACTCTCATTGCTCATGCTTCTTATGCCTTCAATAGTTATTACCAGCGCAGGGCCATGGCTCCAGGATCCTGTAGCTTTGCTGGCACCGCCACCATAGCCAAAACTGATCCAAGTAATTTGTTTCTCTCCGACCTTTTTCAAGATAACTGGTTGCATGCGTATATATGTTTTTCTTTTGGGAATTTGTGTCTGATTTTATATATATATTTTTTGTTCTTTTCTTCATTTTGGATTTTTAGGCTACGGATCTTGTGTTTATCCATCATCTCCGAGGTATGCTTTTTCTCCTTTTCTTTTGTTTCATTCTCTTTCTGTGATTTGAGTCCTATCTTTAGTTGCATAGTTGCAGTTTTTTCTTTAAAAGCATGAATTGTTTTATTCTTTTGATACTTTCTTTTTGTGATGTAGTCTTGTTACTACTATTTAGAGACCCAATTTAAGCTTTAATTTTTTAGGTATTTTCTTTGGTAACTTAATTATTCTTACATATAAGAAGATGTATATCTTTACTGTTTCTTTTTGGTCATAGTAGGGGAGATTTTCTAAATTTTTTAGTGTTTTCATAAATTGATTCTATTGGTATTTATACATTATACAGTGTATAATTCCGTAGGATGTTGTAGCATAAATTTTAGTAGAAAACTCTTAGATATACTGGTTTACTGGTATGCTTGAACGAATTTAGCTTAGCAGACAATAATCAAATTCAAATTGTATTTTAATTCTTTACCATTTTGCAAATCCAGTAAGTAGAGCAGCCAACATTAGGATTGGACAATTAACAAAAAATAAATAAGATTACGAATATAATAAGATGTTAGACTATCCTTCTCTCAACCATAAAACTTGAATCCAAAACATTTTAGGCTCATATGATACCTCAATCTTGGCTGCTGGCTTGTTTCTGTCATTAGACATAGGACTCATTTGTGGCTTATTAGACATAGGACTCATTTTAGGGTTTGTTTGGATAGGAGTTTATTTGGATGATTTATTTGAGATAATTATTGTAGAACCTTTTATGATGTGATGTATGTGACATAAAAAGGTGATTGGAAAGATAAAAAGATGATTGGAATTTTTGAAGTAAATTATTTTATTTCAAAACTATGCAATCCAAACATACTCGAGATTGCAACCGTTTAATGTCACAGTAATTTTTGTTGAAATGACAAACTACCACCTTCTAAGTCAAAATCATAGTAACATTTGATCTGAGTTAAAAGGAGTAAATTTGTCGATTATTTAAAAAAAAAATTGCTGTGATATTAAAATTAAACTTTTAATAATATCATTTTTCACGAGTTATTAATATTCATAACTCAGAAATCGATCCCACATAATAATCTTTTGTAACAATTTCAAGATTATTCCCTTTTTAAGTCTAAAAGAAATCCTGGCTCAAAAGGATAAGCATTTATTTGGATTGCAATTCTTTTCAAAATTTTTGTTACGTTTTTCATGAATATAATTTTTTAATCATCTTTTTTCTTCGTATACATTAAATTTCTACGATATAATTTTTACATTTTTATGTTTTTTATGAATACAATTTTTTATCATCTTTTTTTTGTGAAACTTTTATACATTATCTTTCTTTTCAGTCTTGTTTGGAAAGTTATTTTCTACCAAAAAATTTCTACGTTTTCGTAAACACATTTTTTATATCATATATATCAAATTATTACAGTAAATTTTGTATAAAAATTCTAAAAAATTGCAATTCAAACGGCTTCTAAAATTTGATGGAAAAATTTGGTCATGCAATTAACTTTTTTGACTCTAAGGTGACCGATGGATCATGGGGTGCACCGAGCGCCTCATGACTGATGTACATTGTATAGCATGCTTAGGTGTTCGTGTTTGTCCATTGTGCATTCTCACGTGGACGTATTCAATGGATGTCTTCCACGTGTACATGTGTACGAGAATGACGTGGCTGATTGTTTGAACGTGGCTTTGGTAGCCTGCTTTACTGCAGAGTTGGTTCTTGGGTTGTGTTGTCTTCAACGTTAGACTTAGACCGCAGGATGGTTCTTATTGTTTAGATGGCAATTTGCACGGCTGAGATCTTCTTGAAAGGGGGGTACGACCCCACATCAGCACCTGATTCCAAAATTAGCATCGACCCCACATGTCACTATATGTGGCTGCCTTCTGTGACTGCCTTAGTAGAGTTTCTACTTCCATCGGCTCTCTCTCCTTCTAGATTATGATAGATTAAATTATAAGAATATTATCGTTGCAAAAAAAAAAAAAAAAAAAAAATCACCTCAATCCAGCACTTGTGGCTGTTGATATTGCTACACAACTTTGCTGCCGCGGTATGTTTGGCTAATTCCTCATAATGTGGTCCCTTAAAAAACGATCGGCTAAATATGAACGTGTAAAGTTCTATTCTCATTTTATACCTGTCTTGTCTACATAACATGACGGGTCAAGCAATTTTTTTAAAATAACTACGCCAAAAACAACTTTTTTTTTTTTTCGAAAAACAAACATGACTGTCATATCTACATGCCACGACGGTCCAAAAAGTTGAAATTTTTTATGGCCTATCATGCCATGTTGGCGCGACAAATCTGAAAGATTTAAAAAAAAAAAAGTTATTGTCACTTCTTGTTGTTGATCCAACATTCATCAATGACCGGCTCTCAACCATTTATATAAATGTGTTCTCTTGCATTACTTTGCAAGAAGTAGCAATTTTTCACCTCCATTTCTCTCTCTAAAATTTTATTTTCGTGTTTCTCTTCTCCTTCTCTCTAAACAATAGAATCTCTCTCTCTCTCTCTGCCCATCGTGCCAACATGAAATTTTAACTTTTTGGGTCATCGTGCCATGTAAGGCAACAGCCATGTTTGCTTTTTTTTTTAAAAAAAAAAAAAGAGTTGTCGGTATAGCATGACAGCTTGTTGGTTATTTTAAAAAAAAATTGCTTGGCACGATGGGCATAGAACAAGAATAGAACTCTATACATCCATATTTGTTCGATCTTTTTTGAAAGGATTACAGCTTGAGGAATTAGCTGTTGACTTAAAATGGTGGATTTATACTTTATAGTCTTATATTCTATAAGAAGAGTTAAATTAAATGTGCGGTAGGGAGGAGAGACGAATTGGGTGGTTTGATGAATGGTGTGCAAGGGAGAGATATCGAATTCGATCCCTTCCACTTACACTTAAAAGAGAAGGATTAAAAAAGTATTAAATGTGTGGTGGCCAATTCATCATTTAGTCATATTGGCCATTTAGGCAAATTTCTAGAAATAATACTCGAAAAAAAGTTATCATAAAAGTGGAGTCATGTGAGAAAGGTTTTTCTTTTTTACGTTTGCCACATTTGATGAATGCTAGGAAGTTTTTTCTTTGCTAATGTTTGCCGCATTTGACGAATGTGATGACAGTCCCCTTTTATTTTTAAAATGTTCTGAACGAATTTTTTTTTAAAAAAACTGTGTTACTTCAAGTAATCAGGTACGACAACTGAAAGCAGGATTTAAATTTTTTAAAACAAAAGGTGACTCACACAAAGGTTTTTTAGCAAAAAAAAAAAAAATTTTTTTGAGTCATTGCAAACAAATTTTTTTTAAAAAAATGTGAAGTGACTCAAACAAATTTTTTTAAACAAAAAACTATTAGAGAGATGCGGCAACATATTTTTCTTTGTTTTTTTAATCCAAGGAATCTAACTATTGATCAACTGTTGATCAAAGGCTAGATTTTTTTGATATTCATGAGATACTGTTTGAAAAAAATAAAAAATTAAAAAAAAGATAACTTTTGATCAACAGCTTTTATAGTTGTTGATGGCCACAAAACATCTATATATACTCTCAATTTGAATCTTGAACTCGTAGCATCCTCATTTTTTGCTTTTCCATTTCTTTCTCCCTATTTTTGGAGAGTTGCAGAGTAGCAGAATAGGCAGAGAGAAATGGAGGCAAAAATGGAGATGGTGTGGATTCAAACTTCAGAATTGGGGCTATATATAGATGTTTTGTGGCCATCCAACGACTGTAAAAGCTTTTGATCAATGGCTCACTTTTTTTCTTTTTTTTTTCCCAAACGACATTCTCATGAATATTGAGGGAATTTAGCCATTGATCAACAATTAGATTCCTTGGATTAAAAAAAAAGAAAAATATATGCGGTGACTCTAATAGTTAAAAAAAAAAAACTTTGTGTGCTGAAACTTACTTTTTTTTAAAAAAAAAAATTAATCTTGCTTTTAGTCGCCGAATCTAATTACATGGGATGACACAATTTTTTAAAAAAATCATTGAGGACATTTTAAAAAATTACAAAAAAAATGTCATTGCATTCATCAAATGTGGCAATATTAAACGAGAAAAATTTTCCACATAACCCCACTTTTGTGATAATCTTTTTTCAGCATTATTTCTAGAAATTTGCCACCATTTAGTGAAATTGGGCTTTGGCGCTAAAATTAGTGCAGTTAATTTTATTTTAGATCATTAAACTATAGATGCTTTCTTATTTTAGTCCTTAAATTTGAATTATGGACTCTTTATACTTTAAATTATGAAATTTGTCCCACTTCAGTATAATCATTGTGCTGAAACTAACAAAATCTTCCATGCCACTTTGAGCATTCTTGCCAACTATATTTGTTCGATTTGACGATTCAGTCAATGATTATATTGAAGTGGGAGAATTGTATTATTTTAAAATGTAAAGTGGACTGAAATGGATGCACATTTATTGTTGAAGGATCTAAAATAAAATTTATCTAACTTAATACTATAATAATATCAGGAGACATAAGTTGTATTAATAAAATGATTTCAAAAAGTAAGAGGACTTGCAGGTGATATACAGTGTTAATCTTTGTGACAAATGTAAAGGTAACTTATGTTTAGGTAGGTTTTGCAATACAAGTAAATCTTCGTCGTAATTTATTTGATGTCTTTTGCAATATGTGCTTTCGGCCCTTAAAAGGATCAAATTCAAACTTAATTATCCTAAGTTCCTAACCAACAAAATCAGCAATCTGGATAAAGCTTGCAATCTCTGCCCTCAAAACCAAGTTCAACTGGTGGGGACAGGGGCATTAATCTGATGATTGTGAAGGCCCCCCCCCCCTCCTCCCCTCCTCTCCCCTCCCCTCCCAAAACCCAAAACCCTTCTCTTAAAAAAAATTTTAAGGAAAGAAAGAAATCACAATTTCCAGCATAACTAATCAAGTACAAGGTACAAATGTTGAAGAGACGAAAGCTTAAGGTTGTGTTTGGATTGCAATTTTTAGAATTTTTTGTAGAAAAATTACTGTAGCATTTGATGCATGTAAGGAAAAAAGATAATAGGAAAATGTGATCACGGAAAACGACGCAATTTTCCGGCGGAAAATGGCTGTCGAAACAAGGCCTTAATCTTGTTGAAATACGGCCAGAGAACTGTCTAAGCATTCATATTGATAATTAAAGACTATTAGATGAATGGAAAAGTTCAAGAAACGAACGTATTATATTTAAACGTTCAAGCAGAATATTCTGATGGATATCAAGACTGTAAAGGTAAGACCCTTAAAATATTGGATTCAATGCCTTTCAAGGAACAACTTGTAATTTATAATAAAATCAGAAACTTGGAATCTGTAAATTCTTCCAATTCATTTTTTTTTTTATTCAGGGTAAGAATCTTAAGTTTCCACAGCCTGCAATTTAGCTAGTGATCTACATAGAAGAGATTGTATCATATTTATTCACATTATACAAAGAGAATGTTTGACGGCTATCATCTGCTGTAGCAATTTTTCTTGTAAACCATCATCTGTAAATGTGTTATAAATCAGGGTGATGGAGTGATGATCCCAACCAGAAGCTTTCAGAAACCACTACATACATGAATTGCTTATATACTCGTAATATTGCTGTATAAGAGTTTCTTATGTTTTTGGACCTGGTTTGAAAGAGGAGAGGAGAAGTTGGCTAATTTGATAAAAGGAGCTTATGGGCAATGTCCTATTCATTCTTAGAATCGGCACACAAGAGAAGGCTTAAAAGATGATGAATCAACATCTAATCATTCAATCATGTCAAGCATTGCCTCTATCTGGATCAACACCAACCTAAACCATAGAATCATATAATGTAGTATCCCAAATGCAAATAAGGGAATAGAGAAGAATGGCAATTTTCCCCGAAAATTTGCATTACAATCTTGGGATGCACTTCTAGGTGGTCCTTTCGGCATCTGCTTTTCTCTTCTATTCTGTCACTGCTCTTTTGCAAGGAATTTTGGAAAGGAAAAGATGGCAAGTTGGCCAAGGGGATTTCTGAAAGGTGCTTCAAGGGTTGGAGTGCAGAGCATATTATTGTCCATTCAAAGAACTAAGATTCTGGCCTTCAATTTGTTTCGATGGCTAGTCTTCTTTGAATTTTCACTTCTTTCTCTTCAAACTCCTCATCTGCCTCTGCACCTGCTGTATCTGCACTTGCATTTTTTTTTTCTGTTAAAAATTTTGGCCTTTTTTACAGCCTAAATTTACAATGCAATGCTTTGGATTTGAAACTTGCAGCGCTGCAGGAGGACCACCTACCGTAGGCGGTATGCCAACCAATCCAATCACTAGTCCATCTTTGAGCGCACCACCACCACCGGAGACTAAACCCTTAAACAACGTTGGAGGCTTGAGACCAGGGCTGGGTGGTGGAATTCCTGCAACACAGAATTCTAAAGCTGCTTCTCTACCATCCTCTACTGCGACTACCTTAACTCTTTCATCTTTCTTGCTTGTACTCTTTCTCATTTCTGAACCCTAATATTGCCCTGAGAGAGAACAGCAACAGGGCCTTAAGTGATTGTGAAGACTAGGTTAGTGAAGTTTTGTTAGGTGAGGCTCCTTGTCTCAGCCACTCAGCAGTTTTGTAGCAAAAAAATATTTAAGGCTTTTGATGTAATGTTCTCTTTTGGCTGCTTAATTCTTTTCAAGCCTTGGTCCCAATTGGAGAAGTTTAATTCATGCATTCTTAGTTGGACTACAATTCAACTATTGGAGTTCTCACTACGGCAATCTGTGATTTCTAGTTCCACCTTCTTTTTCCTGAATTCTCCATCCTCTTAAACCAACTTGCAAAAATCCACTGAAGTTCTTGGAAAATGTTGGTGATCACCAAAACGAAAAAGAGCAAGGCTTGTGAGTGTTTTCTTTGTTTGATATTTGCAGAGCGACGTATCGAAATCGTTGACAGAAAACCATGAAAACAATAAAAATTATAATTTCAAATTCAAATTCTGCATATGTTTTATATATCTAATGGTGATGGTGTATATACCGACCGACTGTGTATATAAAATTAATCCAACTTATAAGCTGGTGCTTTTGAAAGAGACTACATTGAGGGTCAAAATTCATCTTCAAGAGTGCAGTACGACTAGAATAGGAATTCATATTCTCTAGTCAAGTGAGACTCAATACTTTGATTTGCCTGTTTACAACTCTTGCTTCACCCGTAACTCCTATAACACACACACACACACACACATTTTCTCTCAAGTACGTAGCAAGAAAACTAGAAGAGGACCTTCTTCAACATTTAATTGTAACATGGATAACTCTGTAAATTTCTTTTAATCTTCCTATCATCCTATATAGTAATAGTATGAAAGGCCGTCTTCAAAATACTGAAGCGCAAAGATTGGAATTAACATGCTCCAAGTTTTGAGTTCATCTGGCATTGAATTCAATCTAGAATTCAACTGAAGAAGAGACCTGAGCGCAAACGAGAAAGCAAGAAATGTAGTGATCAGAAAATATAAAGATAAGATGGAAACGAAAATCAGAATCTGCAAACTGCTTATATTTGCTTCAACTAAACAAATAGTCATGTTGTAGCTTATAGGTTAGTTGAAGTAGGTCAAATCAAGGTTCTCTTTTGTTCAATTCACTAATTATTTGAACTAAGTGTGCAACTAACCTGCTGATGTTTGGTAATCAATATAGAAAAAATACTGCTTCTTCATGCACTATATTGTGTCCCCACCCACATATCCCCCTTTGTCTTGACATATTAAAGTCTAGGCCTTAATTTACCATTCGACTCCCCATTCAATCAGTTAAGATGTCTAATCAGTTACGTGTAAGAACTATATTTCAATTAATGTTCCAGAAATAGCATTCCAGTTAGTGTGGTACACTCCCTCCTCTCCAAAGCTTAATTACCTTTGGTTCAACTGGGCATCTCTCGGGTTGTCTCACAATGTATATTTGATCACCGGCTTCATTGTACATATCCTGATTCCGGTGCCATGTCCACAGAGCATGTGTCTCATTCTTCACCTGCAGATTACATGAAGAAATATTGTCATCTTTTGCCTTCTCCAAGTTGTGTATCCTATGGTCTATCCTCAACAGGAGATACGAAGTTAATTGTAGAATATTAAAGCACCAAAAAGCAGGATATTTTTTCATTTCAGTGATTTGGAAAAGCACCCAACTACACGAGACTCAATGTTCACAGTTGGAAGTCTTGGTATCCCAACCAAAAATTCCCTCAATGAACCAAAAGGTACAAATTTCAGCTTGAATATAAATAAACTGATATAACTTAGAAAAAAGAATCCTATTTCAGTTAAAGACAAAGATCCCATTCCCTAGAGTAAGGCATCCAAACACATACTAACTGAACAAGTTTTGCCTCCAACTCTCCAGATAATATTTAACTATAGTTCTCAAAGCAATTCTAGTGTACAATTGACTGCTCAGGTTAGTTTTCATGGCTCTCTAGTGGTGCATTTTGAAGTAATTATTAGTCAATAAGTTGTAATGCTTTCTTTGGACTAGTATCTGAGGGGGAGGGAGAGGAGGGAGGAGAGAGAGAGAGAGTTGCACCTCTAGAATACCATGTCCAAAGCTACTTTCCCTGTATGCACTATAATCTGGCTGTCGATCCCAACAGAACTTTCCAGCTGCTGGACCTGATGTAAAATTGTAAGCACAAAATCCACCCATATAGCTGTCCGGAGTTGTGGATGGTCTGGACAGTTCCCTGGTTCATCGCATGTTTAATAGCCATTTTCTCCCTGTTACCACCATCACCAACTGCTATGTATACAGGCCCACAGGGATCCAGTGTGTAGTTGTAGACTCTGTTTGATCTCTCATAGGCATGAACCTATAGTTTAAACAAGTCACAAAAAAAGAAAACAAAGCCTCATTGAGATCTCTAAAGCATGAAGAGGATTTTGTTTTACAGATTGCAGTAAAATGAAATTACATTAACATAGCTGATTTTTTTTTTTTTGTCACGAATCAATGAAGTTTGAATAATTATGTTGGAAAAAAGCTAATGTAATTATAGCTCAAAGTAGTTAATGAAAGAATTACCAAACTTTGTATGATAAGCCTAAACAATATATGCTTGTGAACACAGCAGCAATGGTGGAGGACAGGATACTGCTGTTTCTGTGGCTATGAGATTGCACAAAGGTCTAACCAGGTTAATAAAATAGAGAACAGGAACTGTCAATGATTTGAAGTAATGTGATTGAAGAAGAATCATTAGAAAATTGATAAAGATGATTTTCTTATGCTAGAACGAATGACCAGAATATGGATGGAGCAAATGAACCAGGTATAGGATTTACTACAAGGGCTTGTCACCAGCAAAAGTATACAGCATGTGATAATTAAATTTGTTTCAGTAAGATTTCAGACGATTATTTCCACATTTATTAATTTTTATTACAAAAACTATAAAGAAATACAAGATAAAGCTGAAGAATAGCTTTATTGATTTACAGTATAAGCACTCACGTGACTGTTACATACTTACATGTCCATTGAAGACTATATCAACACCATACTTGTACAGTATTTCTTCCATCTCTACCCTCATACATTCAACTTCCCTATAGTGAGCTACATATGTTGAGTACCATGGAGGATGCCAAGTTGCTACCAGCCAAGGAGTGACTTTTCTGTCAACTTTTGCAAGATCTCTCTTCAACCATTTGTATTGATCAGCTGAAATTCAGTAGTTAAAGATGAGCTATAAAACTACTTCACATTCTTTTGGACATAAAACTAGACAAAAAAATCAGTTAATTGCTGATGAAAAAGTGACTACATGTCATAGATACAGATATGCATAATCTGACAAATTTCATGAGGCAATCAAAGAGTAGCAAAAAAAGGCCCAAGCAAGCAGATAGACGTGAATGCATGTCATCAATTACCTGACTTATTATATGCAATATATGCACCGAGCATTATGAAATGATCCCTCCCGCATTGAATGAAAAGTAGAATGTAGACAAAGATCCACTTTCTTTAGATGGAAATGCAAACCGAGAACTATAGGCTGCAAATGTCCGATTCCCAACTTGTTCTTCGATCTCATGGTTTCCCTCTACTACCATTAGTGGTACTTTAGACACTAGTGGCTGCATAAACCTGCAAAAATATAATATTCTGTTACATTTGTTCTAATGCACAATTATGAAGAAATCTCTTGCACAGACGGTAAAAGAGTGAAGTAAAACTGAAACAATTTCTACTGTTCAATGTAGAAGTCTACAAGAAGCTAATGAATGTTAGGGAAGAAAGGGAAGGAATAGTCTAGGTCTAAAAAAGACTCGCAAAAATTACAGACTAAAGATGGATTGAGCGATAAATAAACTGGTGATGTGCACAATAACCATTAAGAGATTCTAGCAATTGCCAAGTAATGCTGTAAACCAGAAGTTAATTTGAGAGAAATCAACCTTCTTTATGATAGAAATAGACATTCTTACTCAACAAACTAGGTGTATGAGGCTTCTGGTCTCTTTTAGTAGCACCAGTTGCACTGACAGCAAAAGAAGAGCAGATAATTCTACTCATGGATAGCTAGTTCACTATTTTACTCATGCTGGAAGTTTCTGTTGCTTGCCTCATTATTACATGAACAATAAGTACATGGACGAAGTATTAAAGCTACCTTCCCCAGTAATCCCAACGAGGTTGATAGGTCTCATGGATGGGTGTATCAGGAAACGAGCAAGAATAGCAATCAGCGCCAGTTCCATTTGTCAGATACAGATTGGCGTAGGAAACATCCCCCACCAATAGAACAAGATCAGGCTGGTTGCTTAAAGTGGCTAACAGTTGAAGTTGTATTGTATGTAAGACCAAGGTCTCCCATCACTGCTATTCTGCTAGGGTAGTTTTTTGGACTGAAGCAGGCATAGTCCTGAATTGATAGATATCACTCATTGCTGGTATTGAAGGATCTCCGCATCGATAATAATATTCAGTGTTGGGTTCCAATCCTGCAGGGCACAAAACCAATCCCATCATACGAAAAAAAAAACGTTTTCACCAATACAAAGAGCAAAATTGATCTCCTCTATTCTACTTAAAGAAAGCATGCAATTAGTAGCAATAGAAACAAGTACATACAATGTGAATTTAAAATAGATTCTAGTAAATGTACAACCATTTAATGTTTACTGAAAGTAAGATTAGGTTGGTTTTATTGGACCCATGCATCCATTTAGAAAAACTAGATGTTGCAGTTGGCTTGATTCAATTTAATTGAAACCAAGTGGAAGGTGTCTCGGAATCATTGTTGAGAAAAGAAACTTAACAACAATGTATTACGCACATTTGCAAGCTGCAAAACTATCAAATGAGACTTGCCTAACATCACCAGGCTGTATTTCCGGACTACAATATGGCAGGTTGCCGTTGAAATCCAGTAAGTCAAGAGAAACACAAGAGATCAAAAACTTAAAACCACTCAATTTAACACAACCAAGTTATGTGAAAACATTGTTCTAAAATCATGCCAGGGCATTAAACCAATCAAATCCTATTAGAGGGCACCTTGCATATATTTTACTCAGACA